CGGGATTGGTGTACTGCGGTGTGCGCTGCTTTTCATCAGGGTCTGTGCACTGCGGTGTGCGCTGCTGCTCATCAGGATCGGTGCACTGCGGTGTGCGCTGCTGTTCATCAGGGTCTGTGCACTGCGTTGTGCGCTGCTTCTCATTAGGATCTGTGCACTACGCTGTGCGCTGCTGCTCATCTGGATTTGTGCTCTACGGTGTTGTCCATCAGGATCTGTGCACTACGGTGTGCGCTGCTGTCCATCAGGATCTGTGCACTACGGTGTGCGGTGCTGTCCATCTGGATCTGTGCACTACGGTGTGCGCTGCTGTCCATCAGGATCTGTGCACTACGGTGTGGGCTGCTGTCCATCACGATCTGTGCACTACGGTGTGAGCTGCTGTCCATCAGGATCTGTGCACTACGGTGTGCGCTGCTGGTCATCAGGATCTGTGCACTACGGTGTGCGCTGCTTTCTATCAGGATCTGTGCACTACGGTGTGCGCTGTTGTCTATCACGATCTGTGCACTACGGTGTGCGCTGCTGTTAATCAGGATCTGTGCGCTACGGTGTGCGCTGCTGTTTGTCGGGATCTGTGCGCTACGGTGCGCGCAGCTATTTGACGGGATCTGTGCACTACGGTGTGCGCTGCTATTTGTCAGGATCTGTGCACTACGGTGTGCGCTGTTGTCCATCAGGATAAGTGCACTATGGTGTGCGGTGCTGTTTATCTGGATCTATGCACTATGGTGTGCGCTGCTGTTTATCAGGATTTATGCACTACGGTGTGCACCGCCGTTTATCACAATCCGTGCGCTACGGCGCACGTCGCTGTTTATCAGGTTCTGCATGCCTATTGACGGTTCACCATCGCTAATGCTGTTGAGGATAAGGGTTCGGGTTTATGACAAAACCCTGATAGAAGGCTGGGTTTTAGATCATGAACCAACACTATATATTAGTTTGAAACAATTGTGTGTGAACTGTGGTACCTTGGCCCTAAGTGAAGGCTAAGTGGAACCCTCAACTGCTGGGCACAGTGAGAGTTAGTTATTTTATTATGCAACCAGCAGTTCTCTTGTCGGTCATGCACACTGCGGACTGTGGTACCTTGGCCGTAAGTGAAGGCTAAGTGGAACCCTCGACTGCTAGGCACAGTGAGAGTTATTTTATTATGCGACCAGCAGTCCTTTTACTAGTCACGCACGCTATGGGCTATGGTGCCTTGGCCCTAAGAGAAGGCTAAATGGTGCCTTAGTTGCGGGCGCAATGAGAGATGCCTTCATTTTATTATGAGATCAGCAACAGTTTTGGCTGATCACATGCTTTGTGGACTGTGCTAGTGTTCAGACTCAATGCAGTAATGTTGGACTGCGGTAAAATATGGATTGTGCTCAGAGTTCGCACTCAATGCGGTAATGCTGGATTGCGGTAAAATATGGGTCGTGTTCAGTATTTCCACTCAATGATGTAATGCTGGACTGCAGTAAAATATGGATTGTGCTCAGAGTTCGCACTCAATGCTGGGTTGCGGTAAAATATGGGCCGTGTTCAGTGTTTCCACTCAATGCGGTGGTAGATGTCGAACTGAGTTCGCACTTAGAGTGATAATATTACCCTATGTTCACAGTAAGATTTAGTAATGTTGGCCACTTGGGACATCACAGTGTTTCAGTGCTCACTCAGGCTCAACCTGGCTGTTTGAGTGCGCATCCAGTCTCAGTTTGGCTGTTTGAGTGCGCGCCCAGTTTTAGTTTGGCTGTTTGAGTGCGCGCCCAGTCCCAGTTTGGCTGTTTGAGTGCGCGCCCAGTCTTAGTTTGGCTGTTTA